TGAGAGAGGGAGGGAGGGAGGAAGGAAGGAAGGAAGGAAGGAAGGAAGGAAGGAAGGAAGGAAGGAAGGAAGGAAGGAGAAAATATTAGCTAATATCTCTGATGAATATGAAGAAAAATATTTTTCAATAAAAGTTTTGTAACCAAATTCATAATGCATGAAAAAGATTATCCACTGTGATCTAATTGGATTCATTATATAATTTCTTTGATGGTTCAAATATTTAAATAAATAAATGTAAACTTCATTACTTTTTCTTATGTGGAACTTATCATTTTGACTTATGCTCTATTAAAACACATATGACAGCACAAATCTGCAAAATGAAAAAGAATTATTTTTTAATTAAATTATGTATTTAATTAAACAAGAACCATTTTTGTTAACTTTTTGACTCTTTGGTGATTTGGGGAAATGTTTACAAACCTACAAACCACACTTTTGTGCAGATATGCTGGTTAGAGTTTATTGAACATAGTCATCATGTACTTCTTTTAAAAAATGAACATTATTGCCCCTAATACTGCATATAGTGTGGGCTTCATAAAGACATTTCATAGCAGGGTAACATGTGCTTTGAACATGCTTACCTACCCAACCAATTCCCATTTTTCCTATTGCATCCACCCCCTTCTTCTTTGTTAGACTTAAAAAAGATAATTTATTTTTATTTTATGTGTATAAATGTTGTCCTGTACATCCATGTGTGTACCACTTGTGTGCCTAGTACCACAGAAGTCAAAAAGTTGTATCAGATTACCCTGGAACTAAGGTTACAGAAAGTTATGAGCCACCAGGTGGGTGCTCAGAACTGAACTTTCTTCCTCTACAGCAGTAAGTACTCTGAACGCAGACACTGAGACAAACAATCAATCAATGGGACCTCTTGAAACTGAGAAGCTTTTGTAGAGCAAAGGATACGGTCAACAAAGCAAAGCGACAGACTACAGAATGGGAAAAGATCTTCACCAAACCCACATCTGACAGAGGACTGATATCCAGAATATATAAGGAACTCAAGAAATTAGACATCAAAAGGACCAACA